GAAAAAATATTGTTTGGATTAATATTTACCACCGCTGTCAGTGTGTCGATGAGGCCCATCGATTGTGAGCACACAGCATGACATGGCATTAAGAAGCATATGTTAATGGGATATTCGAGAGCATTGGTTGAGATTGTCTTTGCCATTGGTTTAGATGGAGTATGCAAAATATGACTCTTGTTTTGTTTTGTTGGGTATGTGAATGAACCAGGGAACTTGCATTTTTTTTGTATTTTTATTCAAGTGGTGTGTCATGAGGGTGGACCACAGTTTTGTGTTGAATATTCTTACAAGTTACAACTATTCATTGCCCAAAAAATTATAGATATTTTGTGTATCGGTGACCCTTTTAATAATTTCATCATATAACATTCATTTCATGTCCACTCTCCGTTAATTTCATGTACAGTGCGATTTTAATTTAAACTTTGATTTACAATTCAAATGTTATAGGTTATTGGCTAATGCGAAGAGATAAAAAAGCTGCAATCATTCGTTGGGGGCAATTACTACATCAAGTAAGCTTTGACTATATTTTAGGGCATTTTAAATTTATTTATCAAGTTAGTCATTTTAGTTTCTACACCTATGATCTTGAAACTATATAACCTTATTAAATTTAATAAGTCTAGTTGTCAAAAAAAATGGGACTAGATACGTCATTTAGCAACTTGACTATTTTAGTTGGTTTTTTAATTTTTTTATGAAATGAAAAAGAATTATGTTTTGGATGATTTGTGGATATTTTTTTTTGTAGGTGAATAGATAATTGTAAAAGAAAAAGTTGTTGATTAATGTATAGGACATGACATTTTGTTTTATTAACTATTTTTTTCTATTGACTATTTACCCAAAATATAAGTCCCAAACAGGCCTAAAAAGAAAAGAGAAATAATCAGTTATCTTTTTGTAAAGTCTCTGTGTGAGTGTGTGACAACAAAGCTAAAATCACACACTTTGATAAAATGAAGTCCATGAACAATCCCATAAGGTAATAAAGAGAATCTTAGTTGCAACTTTGTTCAAAGATCCTGATTGAGATATGGATCACAAGGATACTGTGTAGGACCTCTCTATATTTCAAACCAGTAATATAGATACCTACTCAATATATATTTGGATCCAATTCTTTTAGGATAAATTGCACTTTGCCCCTTTATTTTTAGTCATTTTTTTATTTTTTTTATTTTGATCGTTCATGTTTCAAGTTTTTTTCTAATTTACTCCTAAAACTAGCTTTTGTTCAAAATTAGATAGAAAATGCATGTTTCCTGCCACATCATATAAAATGAGGGTTGTTTGTGGGACTACTGGGTGATAATTTGATTATCTGCTAATCTGTTTTCCTGCTGCTGTGTGGCTGGTCTGCTACTCTGTATCTGAGGCTAATCTGCTACTCTGTATCTGTTGGGTGATAATCTGATTTTTTGTTAATCTAGTTCTCTGCTGCTGTGTGGCTGGTCTGTATCTGTTCGGTGATAACCTGATGCTAATCTACTAATCTGATGTGTGTCTGTTGTTGTTTTTGGCCTATGCTAGCACTGGTTCCATGCCTCTTTTTGTTTTGTTTGTATTTGGATTAGGTTGCATGCCTCTATTTTGGTTTGTAGTTGCTGTATTGCTTGCATCATCCCTCTCTTTTTGTTGATGTTTTCTTCCTTTCTGTAAGGTTATCCATCATCAATAAAGGGTTATTTGTTGTTGATCAAAAAAATAAAAAATAAAAGGGCAAACTGTAAATTACCCTTCAGTTTATATGTGGTTCATGCCACATTATGGGACTATTTTGTATGGTTTATATGAGTTGTTTATAGTTATTTATTATTTTTAGAATCAATTTAAACTATTTTGTATAGTTTCTGTTTATAGTTTATTAGGTAAGAATAGTTTAAGAGCAATGCTATGTCTATTTAAAGTCTTGCCAACAATATTACTAAAAACATATATGTCCAAATATCATTGGATGATTAATATCATTAATTTTTTAACAACCAATCACATTTGGCCTATTATATTTTTGGTAAGATTTTTAGTAAGTTTGTAGTATAGGTAGAATTATTCATAGTTTCAATAAGTTGAAACAAAAATTGATTATCTCAAAGTTTAGGAAAGCTATTTTGACTTTTGTTTTTATTTTTAGTATGCAATAAATTGCCCCAAACACTATATATATTTTAACTAAACACTGTATATTTAAATTTTAATACAAAATTCAAAGTGCACAGTGAGACCTATCAAATGTGTAAGTCTCACCCTACTATGTTTGTGGTGATGCTGTAAAAAGGTATCCTTTTGTTGCACCAAATGATAATAACCTCACATTAAAGGCCATTAATTGGTGCATTAGCAAAAGTCTTAGGTTATTAAAGCACCAGAATGCAAAGTTTGAGATGTAAAATTTAATATTCTTCATACATTTTTGTAGTTAAGTATGATTTTTAGTTTAAAGTAGGGAAATTTAAACTCTAACATTAAGAATGGTTTTGTTTAGTTTCACTTTAAATAATTTTATTTTAAATACTTTTTAAAACAAAAGCAATAGAAAATTGAAAAACAGCCATCAAGGCCAATAGGATGTTGGAAGATCACCATATAATTTGACTTATAGTTTCTTATACTATACAATGTGATCATGTGTACATGCAGCATCTTTAAATTAAATGTTAAATTAAAAAAATGTATTACAAGGTTTGGCTTTTTTGAGAGAAAATATTATTTTTTTATTGTTTCTCAATGTTTACCTAATGTTTTGAGCATTCATGATATGACAAACACTTATATGACTCAAGGAACTATTTGACATGTAATTCTCTAATTCAAAGGAATTTCACATAACCATGGCTTTGTAGGTGACCAAATATGGATAAGAGTTGGATGCTACTTAGGGATAGGATGAGTTCCCAGTATCGAGATGGGGTGAAGGCTTTTGTTCAATTTGCAATGATGAATGTAGAGCCAAATGATAAGATTCGTTGCCCATGTATGGACTGTTTGAATTGTGAACGACATACTTGTAAAATTGTGGAGTATCATTTAGTTGTGAAAGGGATGTCTCCTTCTTATAAGACTTGGGTGCATCACGGGGAATCTGTTCCCATGAATCAATCTCATGCATTGAATAATGACAACCACAATGACTTTGGAAGCAGAGACAGGCGAAGATCAAGATGAAATCCTAAATTTGTTAGAAGATGTTTACATGGGGACTACCATAAATGATGATGAAAATGAAGAGGATGAGGAGGAAGGTGACAATGACAATGACAATGACAATGATGTGGCTAACAATGTTGAAAAAGAGGGCGTGCCCAACTTTAACAAATTGTTGAATGATGCTCAAAGAGAGTTGTACCCTGGGTGTCGTAAGTTTTCTCTTTTATCATTTGTTGTTAAGATGCTTCATGTGAAGGTGTTGAACAAATGGAGCAATAAGTCTTTCAACATGTTGTTGGGGATATTAAAGGACCTTCTACCGGTAAGTGATCAAGTGATTCCATGGACCCTTTATGAAGCCAAAAAATTCTTACGTGCCTTAGGCTTAGGATATGTGTCGATTCATGCATGCAAGTATGATTGTGCACTTTTCTGGAAAGAGAATGCAAATTTAGAGAATTGTCCAATTTGTCAAAAGTCTAGATACAAGTCGAATTATGGAAAAGGTAAAAAAGTTCCTCACAAGACCTTAAGATACTTCCCGTTGACATCAAGGTTGCAGAGATTATATATATCGAGAAAAACAGCAATAGATATGCGATGGCATAAAGAGAAACGAGTAGATGATGGGATATTGAGACACCCGGCTGATGGTGAGGCATGGAAGGATTTTGATAGGCAACATCCTTTGTTTTCCCAAGAGAGTCGAAATGTGAGGTTAGGGTTGGCCACTGATGGTTTCAATCCTTTTGGAAACATGAGCAACTCGTACAGTATGTGGCCTGTGATTGTTATGCCTTACAACTTGCCTCCTTGGAAATGTATGAAACAAGCATTTAGTATGCTGTCATTGCTTATCCCTGGACCACAAGCACCAGGGAGAGATATCGATGTTTACATGCGACCATTAATTGATGAGTTGAAGGACTTGTGGGAAGATGGTGTGCTTACTTATGATGCCTCAACTGAATTAAGTTTTCAAATGCATGCAGCTGTTATGTGGACAATTAATGACTTTCCTGCATATGGAAACTTGTCGGGATGGAGTACGAAAGGGTATTTGGCTTGTCCCACCTGTAACAAAAATGCTTCCTCACAACGGTTGAGAGGTAAGATAGGGTACACAGGCGCTCATCGTTACCTGCCTGATGACCACCCATGGCGAAGGAGTCGACTTTATAATGGTAAGACTAAGTTCCTGTCGAGACCTTTAGAGTTATCAGGGGAACAAATCTTAGAACAATTGGATTCAGGGACATTCAAACCATTTGGAAAGCATCCAACCAATAAGAAAAGAAAAAAGGAAAATCCAGTATTGAACTGGACAAAAAAAAGCATCCTCTTTGAGTTGCCCTATTGGAAAACACTTAAACTCCGACACAACCTCGATGTTATGCACATAGAGAAGAATATATGTGATAGTTTGCTTGGAACATTACTGAGTATAGATGGGAAGAACAAAGACACAGAAAAAGCACGCATGGATTTGGAAGATATGAAAATAAGGAAGGAGTTACACTTAAAAAGGTGTGCCGATGGGTCTTTTGAAAAGCCCCCAGCATTGTACACTTTGTCCTCAGATGAAAGATATGGTTTTTGTGAGTTTTTAAAGTCAATTAAGTATCCTGATGGTTATGCAGCAAACATCTCAAGGTGTGTGAACACAAAAGGTGATAAGTTAACAGGCCTAAAAAGTCATGATTGTCATGTCCTCATACAGCGACTTCTTCCCATTGGAATGCGTGGATATCTTCACAATGATATTTGTGTCACAACCTGCATATGTATTTATAAAAATGTGAGTGTGTGTGTAATAAGATTATTCTATTGTTTGTTTCATAGGCTGCTTGGAACTTTAAAAGGATATGTTGCAAATCGAGCTCGTCCAGAAGGTTCGATCACAGAAGCTTATGTTGTCAAGGAGTGTCTCACATTTTGCTCAATGTATGTGGGTGGGATTGAAACTGTATTTAATCGAGAGGAACGGAATGTCGATGTTAGTGTGCATGAGTCAGGGTTAGAGGTCTTCGCGCAAAATGTTCGTCCTTTTGGGCTAATTACAAGGGTTTCTAACGTGTCTCAAAAAGAACGTGAAATGGCTCATTGGTTTGTCTTGAATAATAGCCTCGAGCTTGACCATTATCTAGAGTACGTTCTTAATCTTGTTTTTTTTTTTGTAGAATTATGTTTTCAATATAATATGTTACTTATGAATCATATGTTTGTAAGTAGGCAACACAAGAATCTTTTAGAAAATGAAGGTGTACGTGACATCACAAATAGACAGAAAAAGGAATTCCCCAAGTGGTTCAAAGAACATGTAAGATATAATCCCAAACTTTATTCAGCTACACTTATATGAATACTAACATAATGATTGAAATTGATGTCGTTATGTAGATGAACCAATTACGAGCTCAAGGATTACCAGAAGCAACTGATGATTTGTGGTCATTAGCAAATGGTCCTAGTATGAATGTTAACTTGTATTTAGCTTGCATTTCCAATGGTGTTCGATTTCATAGTAAGGATCGTGATAGTAGTCATAAATGCCAAAATAGTGGGTTAGTTGTGGAAGGGGAGCATGAGAGACAAACAATTAACTTTTATGGGTACTTGAATAGAGTGTGGGAGATGCATTACATACTTGGACATCGAGTTGTTTTATTCCAATGCGAATGGTTCAATACCGGTAGCAATAGAACATTACATACCGATACACATTGCACAAGTATTGATGTTAGAAGTCGATGGTATAAAGATGATCCATTTGTCTTACCAAGTCATGTGAAACAAGTTTTTTACGTTGATGATACAAAGTTAGGCGGACATTGGAAAGTCGTAGAAAGACTACAACATCGAGGAATATGGGATGTACCAGAACAAGATGGCTTTGAACCTGAAAATGTATTGCAACAAAATGAAACAACTGATGCTGTCCCAGTGAGCGTTGAAGACCCCGTGACAATCTCACTTCATAGGAATGACATTGATCCTCAAATTATCCCAAGTGAGGTGGTTTTACAATCAGTTAATCGAGCACACAACGATGGTGTTGATGAGGAAGAGGGGTGCGATAATGAAGATGATTACTATGAGCATTGACTATTCGAGAAGATGAGCTACATAATCATTTTGATTGTAATATAGATTTTGACATAGAACTTTAATTGTTGTGTGATTGTAATATGTTTTGATGACACTGTTGTTTAAGTGCCTTTGAGTTTGAGTACAATGACAATTCTGCATGAATTTTTTATTTTATTTTTTATTTTTTTATTTTTTATTTTTTGTATATATGTGTTTGTGTGTGTCCCTATCTGTCTCTCTTTGTCTAATTTATTTTTTTGTTTCTTATGTTATGTTATTGTTTAGTTATTACTTATGTTCTGACATTGATTCTATTAAATAGCCATTGATATTAATGTAATTGCTTATTTTACATATGCTTCACACATGTAATTGTTGAGTTGTTGTGCTAGATAGCAGGCCCTGGTAAAGTTCGACATGCAGCATCATCCAAAGTTCCTCTACCTTCCCAACAAGCTGCAGCTAGAATTACTGTCCCTACTCAGCATGCACCACCTATTTTAACCCCATCTATTCAGAGTGTACCATCTACAAATGCTCTAAGCATCCAGCCTACATCACCGACAAATGCAACTACTACCCAGGTTGCACCATCTACAAATGCAACTACAACCCAAGCTGCACCATCTACAAATGTAGCTACTACTCAGGCTGCACCATCTACAAATGCAACTACTACCCATGATGTGCCATCTACCACTAGTTTGCGTACTCGTTCTAGACAAGTCAGGGGTCAGACTCGAGGGAAGAGCATAGCACGTCTCATAGCTAACAATGGTGGTAAAAAGCTTCCTGTTTGGATCCCTGCAGATGCGAAGGTGCCAGTAGGACCTTATGCCACTCCATTTGCAAATGAACTTGGCTTACAGATAAGGATGGCTGCACCAATCATTGTTATAAAAAAGTGGGACAAGATTGATGAGATTCATAAAGCCCCAATCATTCAAGCAGTTCGGGTACATGTATTTGCTACTTTTCAGATAACTAGATTATCACAATTACTTGCATTTTGATATTAATAAAAGCATTCATTATATTTGTAGGATAAATTTGAGATTGTTGATTATGATGAGGATGAAGAGGTTCGGAAAGGAGTCAATAAAAAGTGTAAAACTCTTTACAGAAGTTGGCGTAACAAGATGAAGACTCATTACTCGAAGTTGGTAGACGCTAGTGTTGACCCTTATAGTAAACCATACAAAGGGGTCGATTCTGAGGCTTGGGTATACATGATCGATCATGTATGGCTTGATGACGATTATCAAGTAAAATTTTCTAATTTAAAGAATCATGTTGTAATTTCAATTTAATTTTACTAATCAATTAATTTTGCAGAACTTGGCTAAAAAAGCAAGGGATAGTCGAGCGAGGTTACCATATAATCATACAATGGGCTCCAAGTCATTTCAAGCTGCAATGTATAAACAGGTGATGCATTTATTATATCTAACATAATGATTGAAATTAATTATGTATGCTTACTTTTAAATGGAATTAGGGTACCGAGAAGACTGACTTTGTAGACTTCTACAAAGATTCCCATTGGAGCAAGAGAAAGTCGGATTGGGTAGCCCCGATATGTGGTCAATTACATGTAAGTATGCCAATTAATAGAGTTACATATTTATGTAAATGATGGTATTTGTTGAAGTTGTTTACAAATTGATAGGAAGCTTTAAAAAAGCGACATGAAGAGTCTTTAGAGCCTGGGGGCAATACCTTTAACACAGGAGCAGCTGTCAATCAAGATTCTTGGAAAGAAATCGGGATACTTAAAAGGCTTTGGAGTTGGTCCAAAACCATCATCATCCAGATCTTCTGTTACTGCACAAGCACATACTGAGGTGGTTTCGAGCCTACAAAAAGAACTAGAGTCATTGAAGAATTTGTCCGAGATCCAGCAAGAACAAATTGCAACCCAGAACCTGGTAGCACAAGAGCAAGCTAAAATGATTAAAATGCAAAACAAAAGATTTGAAGAGAATGAGAAGTTTATGAGGATGACCAAGGATCAGGCAGGCATGCAGGTTGATGAAAATAATTATTCATCAGAGGAATCTTATTGACAAACACTTTTGTAAGTATATTTTTCATAATTTACTTTTCAAATTAGCACAAGCATTTCATTTAATATGTTTGGTTGTGTTGAACAAGCAGGACCTCGATTGGATCTCCGGTTAGAAAATTAGAAGAAAAATTGTAAAACACAAAACTTAAAAAGCCCGTTAGGGGGCTGAAATTGCAAAATTACCACCGAAACCACTGAAACTTGGCACGGACAGCTGGTTAAGACCTAAATAGACTTGTAAGAACAAACGAGATCTCGATTGGATCTTCGGTTAGAAAATTAGAAAGAAAATTGTAAAATGCAAGACTTAAAAGGCCCGTTCGGGGGCCGAAATTGCGAAATGACCACCGAAACCATCGAAACTTGGCACGGACAGCTTGTTGAAGCCTAAATAGACTTGTAGGAACAAACGGGACCTCGATTGGATCTCCGGTTAGAAAATTAGAAGGAAAATTGTAAAATACAAGACTTAAAAGGCCCGTTCGGGAGCCGAAATTGCGAAATGACCACTGAAACCATTGAAACTTGGAACGGACAGCTTGTTCAAGCCTAAATAGACTTGTAAGAACAAACGGGACCTCAATTGGATCTCCGGTTAGAAAATTAGAAGAAAAATTGTAAAATATAAGACTTAAAAGGCCCGTTCGGGGGGCCGAAATTGCAAAATGACCACCGAAACCACTGAAGCTTGGCACGGACAGCTTGTTCAAGCCTTAATAGACTTGAATGAACAAACAGGACCTCGATTGGATCTCCGGTTAGAAAATTAGAAGGAAAATTGTAAAATACAAGACTTAAAAGGCCCGTTCGGGGGCCGAAATTGGAAAATGACCACCGAAACCACCGAAACTTGGCACGGACAGCTTGTTCAAGCCTAAATAGACTTGTAGGAACAAACGGGACCTCTATTGGATCTCCGGTTGAAAAATTAGAAGGAAAATTGTAAAATACAAGACTTAAAAGGCCCGTACGGGGGCTGAAATTGTGAAATGACCACCAAAACCATCGAAACATAGCACGGACAGCTGGTTAAGGCCTAAATAGACTTGTAGGAACAAACGGGACCTCTATTGGATCTCCGGTTAGAAAATTAGAAGGAAAATTGTAAAATACAAGACTTAAAAGGCCCGTACGGGGGCCGAAATTGTGAAATGACCACCGAAACCATCGAAACTTAGCACGGACAGCTGGTTAAGGCCTAAATAGACTTGTAGGAACAAACGGGACCTCAATTGGATCTTCGGTTAGAAAATTAGAAGGAAAATTATAAAACACAAGACTTAAAAGGCCCGTTCCGAAATTACAAAATGACCACTGAAACCACCGAAACTTGGCACGGACAGCTTGTTCAAGCCTAAATAGAGTTGTATGAGCAAACAGCACCCGATTGGGCTTCCCGTTACAAAATTAAAATCAAAATTGTGAAATTTATATCGAGGTTTTTTTTTTTTTTTGTCAATCTAATATTGTTTTGTTTTTTCATGTGACAGATTGGCAATGGTGGAAAATAGTTTGGGCTGCATCAGAAGATTTGATTTTGTGTTTTTGGAAATATTTTGACATAGGATTTTGGTAAATGATTTATGGATTAAATGTTTAGCATCAAAATATTTGGTGTTGTGTTTTTGCAAATATTTTGATATAGGATTTTAGTAAATGACTTGTTGGTTAGATGTTTAACATTAAAATATTTGGTTGTAATTTTGAAAATATTTTGACATAGGATTTGGTAATGTATTTATGGGTTTGATATTAGTAGTTTGTAAGTACTTTGGTATGCATGTTTTAGATTGTCAGAGAATTGTAATTATGTTTATTGGGATTTTTCATAGCTATTAATTTTGAATTAGTATGAATGTCTTGCACAGGTGTATTATTATTCACATTACATTTGTGTATATATTGTGCACAGGAAAACAGGTGTTTTGGATTATTTTGAACAGGAAAATTATTAAAATCAAAATTTATGTACTGAATTTTTAGTGACAGGTGGTATTTTGGTCGCTGTTAATATATTTGGCGACAACATATTGTTTTTGTTGCTAAAAGTTAGTGGTTATTCCAAGAACTTTTAGCAACCAAAACTTACTCGTCGCTAAAAACGTGATTTTTAGCGACCAAATTAATTTTGTCGTTAAATAGTACTTTTGGCGACGCATTTATTTGTCGCTAAAACTACATGGCCTATCCAAATTTTAACCTTTTAGCAACAAATTGTAATTTTATAGCGACAAAATATATGATTTTTGGCGACCAATTTTTCTTGTTGCTAAATGTCTACATACGGTGACAATTTCTGATTTCGTCGCCAATATTTTTAGTGACAGGCCTTTGGCGACAAATTGTATATTTGTCGCCGATTCTTTTGGCGACGAAATTTGTACTTTTGGCGACCAATTTTTGGGTCGCCAAATGTGTATTTTGTTGTAGTGATCGTTTGTCTTCAAAAATAATGCCGCAAATGTGTCCCGAACTGCTTTTGGAGTAGTAGCCTCCCGAACATACTCCAATAACTCTTTCTGAATAGTTGTCCTTAACACGAATATCGCTTTTCCAACCTTAATCCGCTCTTTCGCAAGGCCTCAGCATTTTCTTCTCCAGGTGACACAATTTTCTTGCCGTCAACAATCTCCCATAGATCCTGCCCTTGAAGATATGCCTCGATTCATATTTGTCAATAATCATAATTATAATAATTTAATTTCTCCATACCACTGATGAAGTTTCCAAAATCCGCCATAACAAATGTGATCGTTGACTTCAACAATCTCTTGTATCAATCTCAATTGCTCTTCGTGTCGGTCCCCGAATGACCAAGCTCTGATACCAAATTGTTGAGTTTGACACGATGGTGGATCTAGAAATACAACCTTTATTGATAGCACTCTAGTACACAAAACACTTGTACACAATCACACACTAATACACTTCACTTATCCACTCACACATACATTCAAGCACTCACACTTTGTGTCTTCCTCACACAAGACCTTGAGACACCTCACACTAAATAGTGCTTGACCACTCACTTTAGACTCACTCTTCTTTCACTCAATTGTCCAATTGTCCAATTACCTAGTACATGCACTCATCTCATATTTATACCAGTTGAAGAATTTTCTAGAATACACTCATCCTTTCCTTACACTCTAGAACAATCTAGATTATTCTAGTACATATTAGAGCTTTCTATCCTTCTCTAAAATATTCTAGAACCTTCCGAAACTTTCTAGTTTCTCTAGTTTTCTCCAAACTTCTTAATGTTCCGGAACCATCTAGGATATTCTAGAATCTTCCGGATTTCTTTGGGTCTTTCCAGAATCTTCTAGATCTTTCTGGAGTATTTTAGATTCATGTGGAAACTTCTAAGATATTCTAGAGAGAAGATTCTAGAGAGTGAGGAGAGTTAGTGATGACTCTCAACATAAACTTGAATAAATTCCATCAACCTTCTTATATATATACGGACAATCCAACTCTAGAACCTTTTTCTTGAAGATTGATTTATCACTTCGCCTTTTCTTATTCTCTACTCTTCGTCCTCTCTGTGCATTTAAAGAAAAAAAAAAAAAAAACCTTTTGGGTTACAAATATCACTTTCATTAGTTGCATTTGTTGTTTTCCTTGTGTTTTTTAAGTTATTTCCAAAATTTGATCGTGCTGTATCTTGTACAAAAGCCCTTTATTTTTGAATTTCTTTGTGTTTTCAAATTTGAAACTCTTCCTTCTATGTGGAGTTGTGTTTCTTGGTTCCTGTTTGGTCACAATTTAGGTAAGTCCAAACAGCAAACATTGTTGTAGAACTTAAAATAGCATAGTTTTTCAGACCCATTTTTGGTCCTAATAAAAGCTGTGTACATATATTTTTTGTTACCAAAGTTGAAATTTCTGTCAGTCCCCGGTTGTCTTTTATTATATCACTTTTAGATTAGAGAAGGCAGCTAACTAGTTAGCAAGCAGATTCATAGAATAGTAGTATATTATGGGTTTTGCTATTGGGAATGACACTGTAGATGGAAGTAGTTAATTTATTTTCACAATTTGTTATGTTTCATTATCTGTACACATTGCAGTGTTATAATCGGTTACTGTGAGGTCTTCAATAATCTTCTACCTCCATGTAGAATTTGATATAAAAAAAATTCTGGAACCAAACTCATTTTAAAAAAATAGCAATCCCATTC